AAAAAAAAAAAAAAAAAAAAAAAAAAAAAAAAAAAAAAAAAAAAAAAAAAAAAAAAGTAATTAGGATATATAAAAGGGTGGCTTATAAATGTATGTATATATCGGTAGATGTGTATACAGTACATAAAAAAAAAAAAAGAAAAAAAATTAGAACAAGAAACTTAGAATAGTAAAAAATTGAGACTACCTGCAAAGTATTCGACTAGTCGCTTCCATCGTTTCTCATCCTATAAAATATTTAACATAACATATACATATACTATACTTTTCGCATGGTTGGACTTTAGGTCCTGTGTTCACTATCACAGCAGTGTCGCTTGCTTCAAGCAGTGGATATATCGACTAATATTGCAAGGAAATATCAACTTGCATTTATTATAGACACACATAGAGGAAAATTATCTAGCAAAATTGGTCAAACTGTGTATCTTACGATTAACAGAGTTTAAAAATCACACAAACCCGAGATTTGTCTTGTCACAGAGCTTGTTGATGACTATTAAAATTCGGAAATTCGTACACGAATTTATTACTGCTTGAGTATTGAAGGAATAAAAAATAATAATAATAATAAAAAAAATAGAAAATATCTTTGCCAGTTAACTTTCGACTCCGTGCGTCAACAGAACGAAGATCGAACAAAGAGATAAAAATTAACGATATTAACTCTCGCAGAGTATGCAATATCTGTATTCGTGTACCTCATCAGAGAACCGAATCGAGTTACAATTAATTCCGCGCAAAATAAAGGAAGAAGAACCCGAGTTCTCGTTCACCACTCCGAGAGTTCTCGCCTCTGAATCACGCGTCTCTCGGCTCAAGAGAGCGCCATTGACTTCTTGTTAATAACTAATGTACGCACAATTAATAAACACTGCGAGCGGTCGTTGTTAAAAAAAAAAAAAAAAAAAAAAAAAAATATCGACATGTCCCTTATGTACACACGTTGCAAACGATTTCTAAAACGCTTTTATGATACAAAGTTCATTTAGTCACAAATCTCATCCTCGATTACGAGTCGGCAGCCTCGTTTTGCGGCTCTTGTTGCTGCTGAGGTTCGGGAGGCGGAGGTTGTTCCGACGGTACTTCACCGCCAAAGTCTTGTTGCTCGGCTGGTTGAGCCTCCAGCTGTGGCTCGGCAAATTGTTGTGGCTCTTCCGCCGGAGGTTGGCTGTGATGGTGATGTTGCTCTTGGGGAGGCTCAAAAGACTCCTTCGTGGGAGGCTCATAGTGCTCTTGTGGAGGCTCGTAGTGCTCCTGTGGAGGCTCATAACGCTCTTGTGGAGGGGGCTCGTAGTTCTCCTGTGGAAGCTCAAAGGGCTCTTGTGGAGGGGGCTCGAAATGTGGAGGCTCAAAGCACTCTTGTGGAGGAGGCTCGAATCGCTCTTGTGGTGGCTCGTAGCACTCTAGCGGAGGCTGCTCGAATTGCTGTTCTTGAGGAGGTGGGAGAGGCTCGTAACGTTCCTTCGGAGGAGACGATTCAAAACGCTCCTGTGAAGGAGGAGGTTCGAATTGCTCCTGAGGAGGTTCGAAACGTTCTTGTGGAGGCTCATAGCAATCAACACTTTCCTGACGCGGGGGATGATTATCCTGGGCTGGTGGATGCTGGTCCGACTGAGGCTCGGCATAAAAGTCATCCGGGTCTTCGTGGGCTTTATAACCACCCTGTGGCTGTGGGGTTTTTAAAAATTTACAATCGTTCACGTTCTCTTGGGGGAGGGGATCACATGGGATATTTCGAAAAAGAAAGTTTACTCGCGTGATGAAACGTGAAAATAATAATAATGATAAAAATTCATTTCAAGCCAAACTCAACTCCCGTCAGAATTCGCATGGTGGATTTAATCACGTTTTCGCAAATGTCCGCAAAAACTGAATTCGAATGATTTTGAAAAATAAAAATTTCCATTCAATCGACAATTGTTTTGCAACATGGTTAAATTATAAATATGAGAAACAATCAATAAATGCAAAAATAAATATTTTTTACTTTATTACCTCTGATTGTGTATGTTCGGTGGGTCCTGTACTAACTTGCTGAACATGTTCTGCATTTTTCCAATTTTCGTCAGAAAGAGGCACTTCCATTAAATTATCGGGTTTAGGAGGATTGCCGAAGTTAATGATGGGCCTCGAGTCACCTTCCTCAATTGATGGAAGACCACTTCCAAGATGAGCCATTGTGTCTGCTTGTTGCTCGTTAGAAGGACTAGCATTGCCCCATCTAGTATTTTCAGTAAAGTATATCAATTAGAAAATTTATACTTAGTATTTTTTTTCCATACACATAGTTTTGGAAAACAAAATTAATTAATTGATTAATTTTGTATTAGAAACTACTTTGTTGACGATTAGAAAATAATAAAGTTTATGTTCCATTCTCCTAATAATTTTGTAGAAGCCTTCACATAAGCTAACACAAAAAAAAACATCATACAAATATTAAGCATAGAAAAAACCCGTGGAGGTGTACTGGTATAGAGACTGTCTTGTAATACAGTGGTGGTAGTGGATATAAGTGTAGCGTATTTTAAAACCGAGTAAATGGGCATTAAGCCCAACTACATAGATAAGTGAACTTACCTAGACTTTCGATTTTCTCTCCGCCTGTTGTCCCTATCAGAGCTGGTGCCTCTCTTCTTCTCCTTAGGTTCTTCGCCCCCATCGACTCTGCTTCCTTGTTCTCTGGGAGGTATGAGCGGTGGAGGACCACCATCTTTTCTCCATGATACATCGCCTGGAGCGTTGCCCAACAACGGGGGTGGATGGCCACCTGGACCCGGAGGTCCCATGCCGAAGGGTGGCATGCCAGGACGACCCAAAGGTGGGCCACCGTTACCACGGCCTTCGTCAAAGCCGGGTGGTCGGAAGAACGGTCCACCATCAGGACCTTCGCGAGGATCAAAATCAAAGGGCGGCCCGCCACGCGGACCTCCTGGACCACCTGGTCCTGGAGGGCCAGGGCCAAATGGAGCTCTCATACCTGGTCGCATACCTCTTGGTCCCATACCGCGTGGAGGGAAGAGTGGAGGAGGAGCTGTTGGGAAACAAATGAGGATTGAATGTTGTAAAAACTTGGACGAAGAATTTTGGCGTGGCATCGGATGTAAACAGTATTTATCGACATTGCTAGATTGCTAATACACGAGCTTATTTTTGTTTCGCAAGTATGATTTCCTTACTCAATTAGTATGATTACCAATACATCATGGTATTAAAAATGAATCGAGGAATCTATAGCTCTACATTAACAAGTAGCAAAATTGAGAAATGACTTACCACGTCCCCTTGGGCCAAATCCTTCGGGTCCCATCATACCTGGTGGCATAGGCCCTCTAGGTCCTCTAGGTCCCATCAGGGACGGAGGTCCAGGGCCAAACCTGGGTTCTCCAAAGAAATCTCGTCTCCCACCACGAGCAAAGTCTGGATGATCGTGCATGTTAAAGTCATCGGGCATGCCACGTGGAATATCGAAAGGTGGGCCATCATCAGGATTACGCGGCCGCATATCGAAGTCGAAACGCTTCTGCCGATCGAAATCATCGAGACGACGTTCAGATGGTCCTGATCTTCCATCAGGACGGCCTCCCGGGCCACCAGCTGCGTCAAAATCATCATGAGGGCCAACCGAAGATGGACCCGAAGGTTGAGGACCATGTCGCAAGTCGAAATCGAGATCGAGTCGAGGTGGTCTACCACCCATTCTATCAAAGTCTTCTGGAGGGGGGTACCTGTGCTCCAACAGGCTACGGGGTGGTTCGGGAAAGTCCTCCAATGGACCACCACGTCCCATTGAATCACCAGGTCTCATGCCAAACGGTCGATTGTCACGGTCTCCCATACCTACAACAAACGAAATTTTAAATTAGATTGTTACAAACATATTACTGTTACAAGGACATCTATTCAAGTTGCACTTACGAGGAAAATCTCTGAGATCGCGACCTTCATTTCGAGATCCAAAGTCTCGCGGTCCACCGAAAGCAGTGTCTGGCATGCCAGGGAATTTCTGCGGTGGTAAGTCCAACAGAGATGGTGGCCCATCTCCAGGTCGACGAAGAGGTCCCAACAAACTAGGTGGCTGTTGCTGCGGTTTCTGCTGCTGCTGTTGCTGCTGCTGCTGCTGCTGCTGCTGCTGCTGCTGCTGCTGCTGCTGCTGCTGCTGCTGCTGCTGCTGCTGCTGCTGCTGCTGCTGCTGCTGCTGCTGCTGCTGCTGCTGCTGCTGCTGCTGCTGCTGCTGCTGCTGCTGCTGCTGCTGCTGCTGCTGCTGCTGCTGCTGCTGCTGCTGCTGCTGCTGCTGCTGCTGCTGCTGCTGCTGCTGCTGCTGCTGCTGCTGCTGCTGCTGCTGCTGCTGCTGCTGCTGCTGCTGCTGCTGCTGCTGCTGCTGCTGCTGCTGCTGCTGCTGCTGCTGCTGCTGCTGCTGCTGCTGCTGCTGCTGCTGCTGCTGCTGCTGCTGCTGCTGCTGCTGCTGCTGCTGCTGCTGCTGCTGCTGCTGCTGCTGCTGCTGCTGCTGCTGCTGCTGCTGCTGCTGCTGCTGCTGCTGCTGCTGCTGCTGCTGCTGCTGCTGCTGCTGCTGCTGCTGCTGCTGCTGCTGCTGCTGCTGCTGCTGCTGCTGCTGCTGCTGCTGCTGCTGCTGCTGCTGCTGCTGCTGCTGCTGCTGCTGCTGCTGCTGCTGCTGCTGCTGCTGCTGCTGCTGCTGCTGCTGCTGCTGCTGCTGCTGCTGCTGCTGCTGCTGCTGCTGCTGCTGCTGCTGCTGCTGCTGCTGCTGCTGCTGCTGCTGCTGCTGCTGCTGCTGCTGCTGCTGCTGCTGCTGCTGCTGCTGCTGCTGCTGCTGCTGCTGCTGCTGCTGCTGCTGCTGCTGCTGCTGCTGCTGCTGCTGCTGCTGCTGCTGCTGCTGCTGCTGCTGCTGCTGCTGCTGCTGCTGCTGCTGCTGCTGCTGCTGCTGCTGCTGCTGCTGCTGCTGCTGCTGCTGCTGCTGCTGCTGCTGCTGCTGCTGCTGCTGCTGCTGCTGCTGCTGCTGCTGCTGCTGCTGCTGCTGCTGCTGCTGCTGCTGCTGCTGCTGCTGCTGCTGCTGCTGCTGCTGCTGCTGCTGCTGCTGCTGCTGCTGCTGCTGCTGCTGCTGCTGCTGCTGCTGCTGCTGCTGCTGCTGCTGCTGCTGCTGCTGCTGCTGCTGCTGCTGCTGCTGCTGCTGCTGCTGCTGCTGCTGCTGCTGCTGCTGCTGCTGCTGCTGCTGCTGCTGCTGCTGCTGCTGCTGCTGCTGCTGCTGCTGCTGCTGCTGCTGCTGCTGCTGCTGCTGCTGCTGCTGCTGCTGCTGCTGCTGCTGCTGCTGCTGCTGCTGCTGCTGCTGCTGCTGCTGCTGCTGCTGCTGCTGCTGCTGCTGCTGCTGCTGCTGCTGCTGCTGCTGCTGCTGCTGCTGCTGCTGCTGCTGCTGCTGCTGCTGCTGCTGCTGCTGCTGCTGCTGCTGCTGCTGCTGCTGCTGCTGCTGCTGCTGCTGCTGCTGCTGCTGCTGCTGCTGCTGCTGCTGCTGCTGCTGCTGCTGCTGCTGCTGCTGCTGCTGCTGCTGCTGCTGCTGCTGCTGCTGCTGCTGCTGCTGCTGCTGCTGCTGCTGCTGCTGCTGCTGCTGCTGCTGCTGCTGCTGCTGCTGCTGCTGCTGCTGCTGCTGCTGCTGCTGCTGCTGCTGCTGCTGCTGCTGCTGCTGCTGCTGCTGCTGCTGCTGCTGCTGCTGCTGCTGCTGCTGCTGCTGCTGCTGCTGCTGCTGCTGCTGCTGCTGCTGCTGCTGCTGCTGCTGCTGCTGCTGCTGCTGCTGCTGCTGCTGCTGCTGCTGCTGCTGCTGCTGCTGCTGCTGCTGCTGCTGCTGCTGCTGCTGCTGCTGCTGCTGCTGCTGCTGCTGCTGCTGCTGCTGCTGCTGCTGCTGCTGCTGCTGCTGCTGCTGCTGCTGCTGCTGCTGCTGCTGCTGCTGCTGCTGCTGCTGCTGCTGCTGCTGCTGCTGCTGCTGCTGCTGCTGCTGCTGCTGCTGCTGCTGCTGCTGCTGCTGCTGCTGCTGCTGCTGCTGCTGCTGCTGCTGCTGCTGCTGCTGCTGCTGCTGCTGCTGCTGCTGCTGCTGCTGCTGCTGCTGCTGCTGCTGCTGCTGCTGCTGCTGCTGCTGCTGCTGCTGCTGCTGCTGCTGCTGCTGCTGCTGCTGCTGCTGCTGCTGCTGCTGCTGCTGCTGCTGCTGCTGCTGCTGCTGCTGCTGCTGCTGCTGCTGCTGCTGCTGCTGCTGCTGCTGCTGCTGCTGCTGCTGCTGCTGCTGCTGCTGCTGCTGCTGCTGCTGCTGCTGCTGCTGCTGCTGCTGCTGCTGCTGCTGCTGCTGCTGCTGCTGCTGCTGCTGCTGCTGCTGCTGCTGCTGCTGCTGCTGCTGCTGCTGCTGCTGCTGCTGCTGCTGCTGCTGCTGCTGCTGCTGCTGCTGCTGCTGCTGCTGCTGCTGCTGCTGCTGCTGCTGCTGCTGCTGCTGCTGCTGCTGCTGCTGCTGCTGCTGCTGCTGCTGCTGCTGCTGCTGCTGCTGCTGCTGCTGCTGCTGCTGCTGCTGCTGCTGCTGCTGCTGCTGCTGCTGCTGCTGCTGCTGCTGCTGCTGCTGCTGCTGCTGCTGCTGCTGCTGCTGCTGCTGCTGCTGCTGCTGCTGCTGCTGCTGCTGCTGCTGCTGCTGCTGCTGCTGCTGCTGCTGCTGCTGCTGCTGCTGCTGCTGCTGCTGCTGCTGCTGCTGCTGCTGCTGCTGCTGCTGCTGCTGCTGCTGCTGCTGCTGCTGCTGCTGCTGCTGCTGCTGCTGCTGCTGCTGCTGCTGCTGCTGCTGCTGCTGCTGCTGCTGCTGCTGCTGCTGCTGCTGCTGCTGCTGCTGCTGCTGCTGCTGCTGCTGCTGCTGCTGCTGCTGCTGCTGCTGCTGCTGCTGCTGCTGCTGCTGCTGCTGCTGCTGCTGCTGCTGCTGCTGCTGCTGCTGCTGCTGCTGCTGCTGCTGCTGCTGCTGCTGCTGCTGCTGCTGCTGCTGCTGCTGCTGCTGCTGCTGCTGCTGCTGCTGCTGCTGCTGCTGCTGCTGCTGCTGCTGCTGCTGCTGCTGCTGCTGCTGCTGCTGCTGCTGCTGCTGCTGCTGCTGCTGCTGCTGCTGCTGCTGCTGCTGCTGCTGCTGCTGCTGCTGCTGCTGCTGCTGCTGCTGCTGCTGCTGCTGCTGCTGCTGCTGCTGCTGCTGCTGCTGCTGCTGCTGCTGCTGCTGCTGCTGCTGCTGCTGCTGCTGCTGCTGCTGCTGCTGCTGCTGCTGCTGCTGCTGCTGCTGCTGCTGCTGCTGCTGCTGCTGCTGCTGCTGCTGCTGCTGCTGCTGCTGCTGCTGCTGCTGCTGCTGCTGCTGCTGCTGCTGCTGCTGCTGCTGCTGCTGCTGCTGCTGCTGCTGCTGCTGCTGCTGCTGCTGCTGCTGCTGCTGCTGCTGCTGCTGCTGCTGCTGCTGCTGCTGCTGCTGCTGCTGCTGCTGCTGCTGCTGCTGCTGCTGCTGCTGCTGCTGCTGCTGCTGCTGCTGCTGCTGCTGCTGCTGCTGCTGCTGCTGCTGCTGCTGCTGCTGCTGCTGCTGCTGCTGCTGCTGCTGCTGCTGCTGCTGCTGCTGCTGCTGCTGCTGCTGCTGCTGCTGCTGCTGCTGCTGCTGCTGCTGCTGCTGCTGCTGCTGCTGCTGCTGCTGCTGCTGCTGCTGCTGCTGCTGCTGCTGCTGCTGCTGCTGCTGCTGCTGCTGCTGCTGCTGCTGCTGCTGCTGCTGCTGCTGCTGCTGCTGCTGCTGCTGCTGCTGCTGCTGCTGCTGCTGCTGCTGCTGCTGCTGCTGCTGCTGCTGCTGCTGCTGCTGCTGCTGCTGCTGCTGCTGCTGCTGCTGCTGCTGCTGCTGCTGCTGCTGCTGCTGCTGCTGCTGCTGCTGCTGCTGCTGCTGCTGCTGCTGCTGCTGCTGCTGCTGCTGCTGCTGCTGCTGCTGCTGCTGCTGCTGCTGCTGCTGCTGCTGCTGCTGCTGCTGCTGCTGCTGCTGCTGCTGCTGCTGCTGCTGCTGCTGCTGCTGCTGCTGCTGCTGCTGCTGCTGCTGCTGCTGCTGCTGCTGCTGCTGCTGCTGCTGCTGCTGCTGCTGCTGCTGCTGCTGCTGCTGCTGCTGCTGCTGCTGCTGCTGCTGCTGCTGCTGCTGCTGCTGCTGCTGCTGCTGCTGCTGCTGCTGCTGCTGCTGCTGCTGCTGCTGCTGCTGCTGCTGCTGCTGCTGCTGCTGCTGCTGCTGCTGCTGCTGCTGCTGCTGCTGCTGCTGCTGCTGCTGCTGCTGCTGCTGCTGCTGCTGCTGCTGCTGCTGCTGCTGCTGCTGCTGCTGCTGCTGCTGCTGCTGCTGCTGCTGCTGCTGCTGCTGCTGCTGCTGCTGCTGCTGCTGCTGCTGCTGCTGCTGCTGCTGCTGCTGCTGCTGCTGCTGCTGCTGCTGCTGCTGCTGCTGCTGCTGCTGCTGCTGCTGCTGCTGCTGCTGCTGCTGCTGCTGCTGCTGCTGCTGCTGCTGCTGCTGCTGCTGCTGCTGCTGCTGCTGCTGCTGCTGCTGCTGCTGCTGCTGCTGCTGCTGCTGCTGCTGCTGCTGCTGCTGCTGCTGCTGCTGCTGCTGCTGCTGCTGCTGCTGCTGCTGCTGCTGCTGCTGCTGCTGCTGCTGCTGCTGCTGCTGCTGCTGCTGCTGCTGCTGCTGCTGCTGCTGCTGCTGCTGCTGCTGCTGCTGCTGCTGCTGCTGCTGCTGCTGCTGCTGCTGCTGCTGCTGCTGCTGCTGCTGCTGCTGCTGCTGCTGCTGCTGCTGCTGCTGCTGCTGCTGCTGCTGCTGCTGCTGCTGCTGCTGCTGCTGCTGCTGCTGCTGCTGCTGCTGCTGCTGCTGCTGCTGCTGCTGCTGCTGCTGCTGCTGCTGCTGCTGCTGCTGCTGCTGCTGCTGCTGCTGCTGCTGCTGCTGCTGCTGCTGCTGCTGCTGCTGCTGCTGCTGCTGCTGCTGCTGCTGCTGCTGCTGCTGCTGCTGCTGCTGCTGCTGCTGCTGCTGCTGCTGCTGCTGCTGCTGCTGCTGCTGCTGCTGCTGCTGCTGCTGCTGCTGCTGCTGCTGCTGCTGCTGCT